ATTTCGCCGCTTACAGTCTTCTATCTTCAATTTTAATTTAACTTAATTTTTTTGGGGTAGTCTCTTTTTCTAATAATAAAATTTCCTCATCAATTCGACACACTTTCTCTTTTTGCTTTCTTCCCATTGGGAGCTGTCCCAACTTCAGCAGCTTCATTAGCTGCGTTTCTGTCGTCAGAAAAAAAGGGCTATTCCTGGATTTTTCAGGGACTTTGCAGTGTCCCTGAAATCAGCAGGAGGTGCTCTTCTCACTCACCGTCTCTGCAGGACGGTTTAGGTCCGAATGGACCATCCAGCGGCAGAAATATCGACTGCTATCTCGGAGCACCAAGATCGCATGTTGGGCGACATAAGCCCCCTTCTCCCAATCTCTTCTTGAAAGCCTCCAGTGATGAAGCTCCCACAACTTCCGAAGGCAGCTTCTGTTCCTTTGGTTGATTGTTCTCCCTGTCAGAAAATTTCTCCTTATTTCCAGGCTGAATCTCTGCTTGGTCAGTTTCCATCCGTTATTCCTTGTCTGGCCTTCAGGTGCCTTGGAGAATAGCTTGACCCCCAACTCCTCTCTGTGGCAGCTCCTCAAATATTGGAAGATGCTCTCCTGTCTCCCCTGGTCCTTCTCTTCACTAGACTAGCCAGGCCCAGTTCCTGCAACTGTTCTTCGTATGTTTTAGTTTTCAGTCCCCTAATCATCCTGGTTGCTCTTCTCTGCACTCTTTCTAGAGTCTCAGCATCTTTTTTACATTGTGGCAATCAAAACTGGATGCAGGACTCCAGGTGTGGCCTTACTAGGGCTTCGTAGAGTGGTATTAGTCCCTCCCTTGATTTTGATTGCATCCCTCTGTCAATGCAACTTAGGACTGCATTGGCTTTTTTGGCTGAAGCCACACGTGGCTGGCTCCTCTTTAGCTGGTTGTCCACCAAGGTCTTGGAGCAGCACCTGTGTCCTTGCCAGTTTCCATGGAGTCCCAGTTCTGGGGCTTCCCCGGTTCTGATCCGGGGCCTTGAAGGCAGCCAAGCTGGCAAGAGGTTAAGTGGGTTCTTTCCCCTTAGATGCTGTCCACTGAGTTGCTCTGTTCTTTTCCTCCCCCGCCTCCAGGATTCCCTCAACAACAACAACAGTGGCCACAATGTGGCTCCCCCCCTGCAGAGGGCCACGTGGCAAGAGACCCTGCTGCACTCCTCTTCGTCCTCCTCTTCCTCCTCCTCGGTCTCCCACGCAGGTAAGGTCTCCCGTTTCTTCCAGAGGTCCCAAAAGATCCAGGGTGGCTTTTCATTTGGCCCACCGGGGGTCTGCTCAGATCCTGGTTTCACAGGGACCTTAACCCTCCTCTCTCAGGAAGAGCCCCCGCTGGGGAGAGGAACAAGCCTCAAACGGTAGAGAACCAGTTGGTCTATTTGATCCAATTCCCCTGCCGGCCTCTTCTGCACACATCTCTGCTGGGAGAGCCCCAGAAGCCGTGGGGGGTCTGGGAAAGGCAAAGGGGCTGTTTGAAGCTGAGCGACTGCCCCTCTCCTGCCCCCCCCAACAGGGAGAACGGTGGGCAACTCTACCGCTTGACTGACCCAGCTGAGGCAGGGGGCCCAGCCAAGTTCAGACACTGCTTTCCTACCATAGCTGGCAGGAGGGTGGGGTGAGGATCAGTGGTGGTGGTGGGGGCAGCACCCTTCCCTGCTCCTCCTCCCCCTTCCATCCATTGGGGGGGAGGAACACTGGTGCATTAAGGGCATTTCAGGCCTTCGCCCAACAGATGTTACTGATTAAAAAGGAGGGCTGGAGATTCCCTCTGGATTGTGCTAACAGATTCCTTTATTTTGGGTAAAAAAAAGGGGGGGGGAAGATCCCCTGGACACTCATAGGATCAGAGGCTGCCTTTGATTCAGTTTCCAGACTTTGGAGAAGAGGGCAAAACCTCGGTTGAGTTTTCTAAGGCCTAAACGGAGCCGCTCTCTTTCCTCCGCAGAGCGCCCGTCTCCCCTGCACTCCTGTCTCCAGGACGGACCCTGCAGGGACCTCCAGAGCAGCAAAGGGCCGGCCGTCTCCCAGGCCCCTTGCAAGGCCCCACTTTTTGATGCCGAAGGCAACAGCCAGGTTCTGCAGAGAGGCCCCCCTGGGGGGGAGGATTATAACATGAACGTTGTCTCCAGTGAGGCCAGCCTGCAGCCTCCTTCCGCCTTGACCAGCGCAGCATCTGGGAAGCCTCCGGAAGCTCAGAGCAGCTCTCCGCCCCTCGGTTCCATCTCCCAGCCCCACAGTCGCAGCCCTCCCAGGTCCCCTGCCACGGAGAGCTACTGTGCCCAGTTTCAGAGGGATGCTGTGGCGTGCCAGGAGAAAGAGGAGAGAGCCGGCTTGGCTGGGGACCCAGCAGGGCATAGATCCCCCATGGGTGGGGTCCGTGCCGCACTCTCTGAGGGTGAGCCTACCAAGCGCCCCAAGGATGGTTCTCCCCAGGAGTCTGTAGAACCCCACGCAAGCCCAGTACGAGAAGCGGTTGCCCCACTGAGCTCCGAAGGAGAGGGCCCTTTTCAAGGACTGCCCTCTGCCTCCTCCGATACCACGTCTCCCTCCTCGGACCCTGGCATAGAGGCTGATCTCACCAGCCGGACCTCCAAGGCCTTCCCCCTGTGCACCCAGCACTGCGAGGACCTCAGCTCCCCCAGCTCTGACTCTGACGTGGAGGGGGAAATCGAGGCGGCCTTCGCCTCTAACGGGAGCCGCTTGGCTAGCAACATGATCTCCAGCATCTCCGAAACGGAGCTGGACGTGAGCAGTGAGAGCAGCAGTGGCCGTTCCTCCCACCTCACCAATTCCATCGAGGAGGCCAGCTCCCCGGGCTCTGAGGCAGATCTGGAAGCCGACTTGGACGCCCGGGGCATGATGGGCCTGAAGGATGCCCTCCTGCTGGATGCCAAGAAGGAGGAGGAGGGCACACAGCTGCCCATGGAGGAGAGCCTGGCGCCGCTCAAAATAGAGGAATTCTACGAAGACCCCTCAGTGCCCGTCGACCAGACCGAGCTGCCTCCTTCAGGCCATCTGGAGCTGGAGATCAACCCTGACCACAGTCTGGAGAGCCTGCGGCGGTCCTTCTACCTACCAGTGGGGCGCCAGCTCCTGCGTGATGGGGCGGAAGAGGAAGGGAACAGTGAGGATGATTCTGAATCAGACTCGGAGTCGGAAGCCGACCTGAGCGAGGATTCGGACTCTCCGTGGCTGCTCAGCAACCTGGTGAACAAAATGATCTCGGAGGGCTCCTATCCCATCAAGTGTGCCGACGAATGCTTCCCGGCTGCTCACTCCCTCTCTGACACCATTTCCCCGGCCTCGGACCTGGAGCCGGAGATGCCCAGCGAGGCCCTAAATGACCCCCGGCCCTGCCCCCAGCAGAGCATCGAGCTGGTGGACATGGAGACGCTGCGCTGCTCGCTGCAGGGGGCTGAGGAGGAGAAGCCGCTGGGGGCCCAGCCTGCAGTGGAGAAGGGCCCTCATGGGGGGCAGATGGGGCCCTACCTGCTCATGAGCAACTCCACCAATGACGTCATCGCGCCTGTCTTCCCAGGGCGGCCCTACTCTGGCTGCTGTGTCAACCCTGTTGCTGCCAAAACCTTCCTCTCCAGGGAGCCCCCCGGCAAGGCCAACCCGGCCACAGAGGAGGAGGAGGAGGAGGAGGATGGTGCCATCGACGGGGACCTGGACTCGGGCATCTTGGAGGACAACGACATGATTGACGACATCCGGTTAGAGCCCAAGGAAGGCCTGGATGTCTCCACCGCCAAGACCAACCGCTGCTTCAGCCTGTCCTATTCCCCCGAGGAGGACGCAGTGCCCTGCCGGGGCAGCCTGAAGGGGTCCCCTTTCGACCAGGAGCTCTCCCTCCCGCCACCCGCGATGATGCTGGACGACTCCCTGGCCTACGACTCGGTCAAGTACACCCTGGTGGTGGACGAGAACACCCAGCTGGAGCTGGTCAGCCTCAGGCGATGCACCTCCGTACTGAGCGACGACAGCGAGCTGCTCCGCGCCTGCGACGCCACCGACCCGGAGGACGCCGGCAGTGACTTTGGGGAAGGGCTGGGGGCTCCCGACGGGCGCAGCTCCTCCTCGGAGGACTCCTCCCCGGAGGCCGACCTCCACTTCTCCAAGAAGTTCCTCAACGTCTTCGTCAACAGCACCTCCCGCTCCTCCAGTGAGTGACGGGGGACAGTGGGGGATGGGGGGGGGCACTGTGGCTCTCAGCCCCTGTTGGGCCTTTGCATGTAGGAGTTGTCCTCGACTTACAACCATTTGCTTAGTGACAGTTCAAGGCTACAGCATCACTGAAAAAAGTCTTATGACCGTTTTCCCCACTTACGACCATCGATTGGCAACTGACCCATATTTGTGATGCTTGGGGGGGGTCACTTGATTCCCTTTTATTATTATTATTATTATTATTATTATTTATTTAGCTTTATTTATATGCTTTATTTTTATTTATTTTGCAACCTGCCGGCTAGTGAAGTCCGGGGGGATTCCAGAGTCAACTGTGTTGCTAACTGAAACACAGCAATGATTCACTTCAAGCAAGGAAAGTTGTAAAAGAGGGCAAAACTCACTTAACAAATGTCTCACTTAGCAACAGAATCTCAGGCTCAATTGTGGTCATAAGTCGAGGACTGCCTGTATTTTCTTTGGTCCCCAAACGTCCAACCTTTGCTGCCTCCTCCAACTTCCTTTGCTGGCCCAGCCGGTGCCTCCTGCTGTGCCTGCCTGATGGGCCTTTGTCCCCCTGGGGGGTTGGGGGCCTCCCCTGCCCTGGCTGCCCCCCCCCATTTCCTCCGATTTGGCTCCCCCAGCGCTGCCTTCTCTGTCCCCCAGGCACAGAGTCCTTCGGCCTCTTTTCCTGCATGGTGAACGGGGAGGAGAGGGAGCAGAGCCACCGAGCTGTCTTCAGGTGAGCTGTGGGAGGAGACCCTCCTGGGCTGATCCAGGCAGGGAGGTTGGGGGGAAGGCAGAGGCCCCGTGACCAACCGGGTTCAGCCTGTGGAGTCGGTGCCCCCTTGGGTAGCCCCCTCCAGGTAGGACAGCAAGGCGCCTCAAGGTCCCCTCTGACCACCTTCAGGGGGCCTTCCTTCAACCTGGGTTGGGCCGGTCTCACTTTACGCCTCCTTTAAGAGGTCTTCATTCTCCGTGCCAAACGGGGTGGAGCGTCCATGGAGATCCTCCAGGTCACGGTGGTCCCAAAGGGGCTGCTTCCAAAAGGCTTCCTCGGGTGCCTCTTTGGGAGCGCTAGTGTCAATGGCTGTCGGCCGGGGCAAAGGGGAGCCGAGGGGGCAGGCTGGCCCCACAGAAGGAAGCCGGGGGAGGGGGGGGGCTCCTGAAATCCCCCCCCCCCGGGGCTCTTCTCTCTTCCAGGTTCATCCCTCGCCACGAAGACGAGCTGGAGCTTGACGTGGACGACCCAATCCTGGTGGAGCTGGAGGAGGACGATTACTGGTACCGGGGCTACAACATGCGGACGGGGGAGCGTGGCATTTTCCCGGCCTTCTACGCCCACGAGGTGGTGAGCCAGGCCAGGGACGTGGCAGGTACGTCGCGGGTGACGGGGAGGGCAGAGGGGGAGAACCGGCCTCTCTTCCCCTGTAGCTGCTCATGGGGGGCGTTGCAGCCACCCAAAGAGCCCCAGAGTGCCCGCTGGGCACATTCTCCTGCTTGGCAGCTGCTTGGCCCTGGCTGGCTGGCTGGGAGGAGGGAGCAGCTCTGCGGGGGGTGGGGGGAGATGCTGAGGCTGAGAAGTGTGTGGGGGCGGGGGTGAGGCAGGAAGGCAAGGGGGCCAACCCTCCTCCCACCTCCACGGTGGGGCTTTCCAGAGACACAGCCCAGGGGTTGAGAGATGGGGGAGGGTCTCTTGCCTTGAGTGCTGACCCCAAGGACCAGCCACCTCCTCCCAATGTGCCCCCCCTCCCACTGGTCCTTCTGGCCGGCTCCTGTTCAGCAGCAGCATAAGAGAGCCGGAAGGGGGGAGAGGGCCAGAGGTGGGGGAAGCGTCCCTGCGGGAGGCTAGATGTGACTCCGGGGCGTCCCTTGCAGGACTGAAGCGGAACCCCTGCTGGGTGGAGCACTTCAACGTGCAGTTCCTGGGCTCGGTGGAGGTGCCCTACCACCAGGGCAACGGCATCCTGTGTGCAGCCATGCAGAAGGTGAGTGCTGTGGGGCGCTGCGGCTGCCTCAGTGGGGCTGGGCCTGCAGAGCCCTAAGCGGGAGTCAGTGCGGCACAAGAGACCCCTTCCCAGAAGACCCCGCAGCCCTCCTTCCAGCTTTCCCACCTCCGCTTCCTTCACGCGGGGAAGAGAAGACGGTCTTCCTGCAGGAGACACCCCAGAACAGCCCTTGGAATGTAAACGTCATTATTCCACTGAATTTCATCCAGATGACGGTTGTCCTCAAGAGTAGTTGGGTTTCTTGTTTTTTTTCTTGGAAAACATTTCGCTTCTCATTCAAGAAGCTTCTTCGGTTCTTCAGAAGCCAAGAACTTCTCCAGAACTGAATATAGCAGTAGACTTATATACCGCTTCATAGGCCTTTCAGGCCTCTCTAAGCGGTTTACAGAGAGTCAGCATATTGCCCCCAACAATCTGG